GTTTTAAACAATAAAAATCTTTCTCAAAAACAACCCCTGCATCAGATTCAAAGAGCAACAAAGCAAATAAAYGTAAGTGGAATCTCAATAGTTAATCCTGACCTGGTAACTGCGAAGCATATCCTCCATCGTGCCTTCATGTCGGGGGGAGTAGTAGCCGTGGTGTGTGGGGGTGAAGGATCTGTCTGAGCTGCAGYACAGAGGAAAAACGTGTTAAAGCAGTGAGGCTCAGAAAACACAGGAAATAAGTGTAGACAGGTTGAATCAAGATAATTCTCTGTAACACAAACAGGAGGTAATGTTCATCAGCTAACAAGATGAATTCATTCAGACAAGAGTTTGTTTTTCTGAAGCTCCTTATTTTAATAAAAGTCACTCAGCTGAGACAAACAGAACAAACCACAGAGCCTGGAGCTGAGTGATGCGCCAGTTAAATGTTGATCAAACCAAAAGCTTTTTAACTGTCAAATTATTACTGACAATAAATGTTTGTTGCCTCAAACCTGCAATATAAATGGACTTTAACTGATTTATAAGTAATAGATCTGAATCATTTATTCCAGATAAACAAACAAAACAACCTGGTTTTAATATTTTAAAACAATTTATGTAAAAGTGAAAAATGGTAAAAGCATACATGGTGAGCTTCTCTGCTCTGAAGCATCAACCATTCCCTTCAGAAACCACTAATCAGTTTATCAGGACTAAAATCATCTCAGTTTAATAAAAACATCTGTATCAGCAGCAGCATGAAGACCAAGGAYGAAGCTGTGGTGAAGAACAGATCAGATTAAGGCTGAGTCACAATACAAGATTTTAAAACAGTCGGCCGATTTTCAAAGATTGATAGGGCCCCACACGAGAGGATAAAAAAAATCATGGATCTACCAGGTTTGGTCCTACAGTGTGTGGTGTACAGCCACAGAGCAGGAGACAACACACCACACACGAAAAGATATTTCATTCATGAACATTCAGATGTCAGATATTAAATCTCGCGAGAATTCAGACGTCTGAGAAAAAATCTCACGTGACCTCCAGAGAGACGTGAGTTCAGAGTAAATAAACTTTTGTGACGAGGAAGAAACAATGTTGATCGTTTGTGGACTATTTTTATCAGAGAAAAAACAATTATATAGGACTTTTAACATCCAGCAGACTTTCTGGTGAGTCATGACAGTTTTTTGTCTTCTGTATTTGGATTCCTCTCCGTGTTTATGTCACCTTGCTTTCTGATTGTCTACATGTCTCATTCACAGGCCGAGAGCTCGGGTGAACACTACACACACTGTGATATCGGGCCAAAAAATCTAACATGTTGAATATCCCCGATTTGAGGTCGGAGCGGTCCTGATGTCCTTCCAAGCTGACTAGATCACTCTTAACTCACCACCCACGACAGGAATATCTGCTATGATTATCTTCAGAGCCATCACGATAATCTGGACTTCCTTAAGATTGTTGCAAGGGCAAAAATCGGCATGATTTTCTTGTAGTGTGACGTCGACCTTAGTTTCTAAAGCAGCAGCTGTGGAGACCCTGAAGGAGGAAGATGTGTCCAAAGAACCGCTGGAAGCTGACACAGCTGGCCTTCAGAAAATATGAAAATACAAGAAACCTGTTGGAGTCTTTCTTGTAGTGTGACGTCAGCCTTAGTTTCTAAAGCAGCAGCTGTGGAGACCCTGAAGGAGGAAGATGTGTCCAGAGAACCGCTGGAAGCTGACACAGCTGGCCTTCAGAAAATATGAAAATACAAGAAACCTGTTGGAGTCTTCCAGAGATCTGAGACTGGGACAGAGGTCCAGCTTCAAGCAGGACAAAGACCCACTGAAGAGCTCTACTGCAGTTGAAGGTCCTGGACTGGTCCAGTCAAAGTTCAGACCTCAGTCCAATAGAGAATCTCTGCTTTGATTTAAAGCTAGTTGGACAGAAGCAGCACCATCCAACCTGAAGCAGCTGGACTGGCTGGGTTCTGAAAGAATAGATGGGCCAGGATCCTGGAGAACACTTTATTAGGTACACATTGCTAGTRTCAGGTTGGAYSCCCTTTTGCCTTCAGAACTGCCTCAATTCTTCGTGGCATAGATTCAACAAGGYACWGGAAACATTCCTCAGAGAGTCTGGTCCATACTGACATGATGGCATCACACAGTTGCTGCAGATTTGTCAGCTGCACATCCATGATGTGAATCTCCCATTCCACCACATCCTGAATATATATACCTGAAAGRTGCTCTATTGGATTGGAATCTGGTGACTGTGGAGGCCATTCAAGTTCAGTGAACTCAATGTCGTGTTCAAGAAACCAGTCTGAGATGATTCATGCTTTATGATATGGTGYGTTATCCTGCTGGAAGTAGCCATCAGAAGATGGTACACTGTGGACATGAAGGGATGGACATGATCAGCAGCAATACTCAGGTAGGCTGTGGCGTTGACTCAATGCACAGTTGGTACTAATGGGCCCTGTAATGGAACTAATACTGTTATGTTTAAGCCAGTAATTCATGACACCCTTTAATGACCTAGATTTTCATGACATGCTGTTCATCAGCAGATAGAATGATTAAAGTCAAAAAAAGATTTGCTATCAACAGTCATTCTTAGATATCATTTGTGTTTATCTTTGTGTTTTCCCTTGACCTTGTATCAAATCTTGCTAAGATGACATAATGGTGTTTGTTAATATATAAATGAGGCCTCTCGAGGGGAGAGACAGACAGTGACAGAGGGAGGCAGAGGCAGAGAGACAGGGCAGGTTGTTCTCTGTGTTTCCTGTTGTTGCAATAAAACTCAGCTGATCATCTCATGGAGTACCTTCATTCTTGGACCACGTATTTCTGTCTTTGTTAATTAAATATTGCCATAACAGGCCCAAAGTGTGTCAAGAAAATATCCCCCACACCATTGCATCACCAACACCAGCCTGAACCGTTGATAAGGCAGAATGGATCCATGCTTTCATGTTGTTGACGCCAAATTCTGACCCTACCATCTGAATGTTGCAGCAGAAATCGAGACTCATCAGACCAGGCAACGTTTTTCTAATCTTCTATTGTCTAATTTTGGTGAATCTGTGTGAATTGTAGCCTCGGTTTCCTGTTCTTAGCTGACAGGAGTGGCGCCCGGTGTGGTCTTCTGCTGCTGAAGCCCATCCTCCTCAAGGTCGACGTTTTGCGCATTCAGAGATGTTCTTCTGCCTACCTTKGTTGTAACGRGTGGTTATYTGAGTYACTGTTGCCTTTCTATCAGCTCAAACCAGTCTGGCCATTCTCCTCTGATCTCTGGCATCAACAAGGCATTTGCACCCACTTGACTTTATGAATTGTTTGACTCATGCAGATGTTTTTATGCCCGAGTGCCTCCACTCTTCTCCTCAGATTATGTAAAGGAACGGAACACGCTGGATCATCATGAGTTCAACTGTTAAATCCACATCAAATTTCTGAATTGCAATGGTCAGGCTCATGATTAGAGGAATGATGGGTGTCTGAAGACCTTTCTGCAGTTTTGTATTTTCATACTGATTTACAACAATACTAATCAGAGGATTAACAGACAGGTGGAGACACAACAAGGACTTTAAATCATGTTTAAACAATAAAAGATGCTTCTAACGTCATGAAGTTCAGCTGATGTGTAAGTGGAGTACTGTGAAGCAGAAACACTTTAGAGWGATCTATTTACTGTGAGCTGGTTTTCAGTTTGGTTCTGGTTCTGTGTTCTGGTTCTGGTACCTGTCAGTGCGTCCTCCCTCCAGGTTGAAGCGGAGGTAGTTCATCCCATCCAGATACTGTCCTGGAAGAGAATCATCTCCGAGCTCCCTCAGGTCCTCGGCCCTCAAATACTCYCCTCCATCACCTGTCATGGTGTCGTCGCCTTCAGAGGAAACAACCGGAGGAGAGAAAAACCAGCAAAATGACACAAAGTCAAACTTTCTAATCCAGTGATGTCATGAAAATGTAGTTAGACTAAACTAAAACCAAGAGATTTATCTGKTCTTCCAGSAGAGRGGTCCAGTCCTGGTCCTGRAGGGTCTSCGCYCTGCAGGTTTTACTGGTTTCTCTGCTCCAACACACCTCATTCAGTGACCTCTTCAGGTTCKGCATGAGTCTGTTAATCAGCCATTCATTTGAACCAGGTGTGTTGAAGCAGAATTACCTCTAAATCCTGCAGGGTAGTGGTCCTCCAGGATGTGTCGTATTTCAAAGCCCACCTCAAGCTGCMAATCAGTGAGATCCTCTCTGCAGTTTGAGCACTTTAAACCCAGCTTTCTGCAGCATTCTGTCATACTTACAGTTCAGTTCTGTTTGAGACATGTGGTTTTTCTCCTGAGCGCTGCTGGCTTTTTTACTAGCAGGAGAATAATCTGAAGAAGAGGAGGAATTCAGTGAATTCCTCCTCCCAGTGATTATTGTCAAACTTTTTGAAACTATAAAGTTATTAAAAGGAAGTCAAATCTSATCGTTGCTGTTTCACTTGCAGGAAACAGAATCTTTTCCAAAGGTTTCAAAACAAAACTCTTTTTGGGGACAAAGTTAGTAATAATTAATTGTAGGGG